TAGATTAGAACAATACAGCGTGAGGAGAGCAGACAGGTAGAGTATGGAGGCAGGAATTATCATGATAGAGGGGAAAGAGACCAGCCCGACTAGATAGGGATTCACCCGGGGGTTGTGGGAGGCTTGGCTGTGGAGACAGTTTAAGGTCAGATGTACAAGGTCTAAGGAATTTGTACTTACAGATCTAGTGAGTGACTGGGGCCCATTGGAGGTTCTTGAGAAAGAGAGTGGCATGTTTAGTGCTACGTATTAAGAAGATTCACGGCATATTTTGGTTTACAGAGAGAGACTGTAGTCAGGACAGCCATTTAGGTGGTTACTCCAACAGTTTAAGTGTGAGGTGAGTAGAAAAGGGTGGGTACAAAATTATCAGTTACTATACTACTTAGGGACTTTTGGAATGTTGGGAATGAGGAAGAAGGGAAAAGACTAAGACAAACAAGGCTTTCTGGCCGGTTGGCAAGGAAAGCAATTGTACGTGTCATTGATGGAAATTGGACCTTCACAGAGTGGAGCTCATTTTGTGGCGTTAGACAATTGATAGGTTTGGTTTTAGATATATCTGCTTGAAGCAATCAGAACATTTGGAGCAAGAAGAGGCCTTACAGATTATCTGTCTAATCCAACCATCCTACTTTCCAAATAGGGAAACTGAGGGGCCTGAGAGGACAAAGGGCTTGCCCTGGTTCCAATGGCAAATTTGTGGGACTCAGTATCAAATGAGATAAAATTTGTAAAAAAACAAACAAAAAAAAAAACTTAAGTGCAGTGCCTGGCATATAGTAGGTGCTGTATAAATACTTATATCCTTTTGTGGTATTTTAAAAGTTCATAGTTTCTGGGTAATTAGTCATTTTATTAATAATGCTAATATTTTATTTAAAAAAGGAGGTCAGTGGCACTCCTGAATGCCAAAGACCCCTCATGGTGGTAGGCTCACAGTTTATATGCCCTTGTAAGAGTGGGTGCCACCTGAGGGTGCCAATCAACTCCGATTGGTTAACAATTAATGAGAAAATGAATATGACAATGAGAAATAAGCTCACTCCAATGAGAGGCTGAGAGAGTGACATCATATCACTCTTGAACAAAGTGTCCAGACCACCCCCAGCCTCAGGCAATCTAGACAAAGGTTCTACCTCCACCCAAACTTGCTTGAGTAGAACACAATGGGCAAGAATTCACCATAAATAATGGTCTAGGTGGGGTGAATTTTTGGCAGAGGTCAATAAAGTCCTTCAAAGGGTTACTTGAACAATGAAATAGGGCAGGGAAAAACCTGACTATCCCCCATAATTGGTTATTACTAATCATTTCTTTCACTTTCCTTCTTCAGTAGAAAGAGATTGAAATAGAGTGAGGTTGAAGTGGTGTTTTGGGGTGGGTATTGGGGCAGAGGTAGTGCTGTAAGATAAAGGGAAAGAGGCCAGTTGGGGAGTGGTGAAAGTGGAGAGATGAGAGGCTTGGCCACCGGAGAGGAACTGGAACCATTCATGTCAGAGCCAGCCAGAGCCAGAGAGAATATCCATGCTTCCCCACAGTACAGACATGTGAGACACAAAAGTTTGTGTGTGTGTGTGTGTGTGTGTGTGTGTGTGTTTTAAAATAAGGAGTTTGGCATTTGAAAGGTCACGCGCCACAGAAGCTGCTGCCAGCCCTCACTTGTTAGCGAGGCCGCCGGCCCCAGCTTGTTATGGAAGCTGCCAGCCCCAGCTTGTCAGTGAAGGCAGCGGTCTCACTTCGTTAGTTCTGACACACTTGAATACACTCACGCTTGAAGCTGATTCTATGTAAGGATGCCAGCACCGCGGTCCAATTCAAGCCATTTTGTTGACTTGGTGACTCTTCCCCCTAATTAAATGTGGATTCATTAGGCTTCTGCTTGTTCCCTGAGGATGAATGCTCTTGGGTCCACCCTCTCCATCTTGGTTTTTCATGTTATCTCTGATACTGGGCTGAGACACCTGAGCAGAAATAATGGTTAGGAAGGAAGAGAAAGATACAAGATGAGACAGAGACCCCAGGTCATGGTTCTTCCATCCTTCCTTCCCCCGACTCATCCTCATACTCTGTTTTCCCCGCCCTCTTTCCCTATCCTGGGAAAGATGTGAGCCGAGCCCTTGTAGGAAGGAAAGGAGCCATCCAAAGTGCTTTAAAGGGCAAACATCCCCTTTCTTCAAGATCTAACTGGTCTCTGGGAATAACTCAGAATGATAGAAGTTAGCTTCTGAAAACACGTGGAAAAAAGACCCCTTCCCCCTTCCCTCATCACTCTCTGTAGCAAATTCAGCTTTCATACCAGGAATGTGAAGCATAACAGACATTTATTAAGCTCCCACTGTGTGCAGAACACTGTGTTGAAGTTTAATTAAGACCTTGGTCCTCGTCCTCCAGGACTTTATAGTCTAGAAGACGCTAACACAGGTAAGTATAATACATAACATTACATAATAAATGCATTAATGAGGTGCAGAGAAAAGTGTCATGTTGAGTTTGGGAGGGAAGGTGCATTATTAGGGGGAAGCTTCATGGAGGAGGTGGTGTATGAAATGAGCTTTAAAGCATGATTATGAGTTCAACCAGTGAAGAGAGTGAGAGAGAGAATTCCAGGCATGAGGACCAATTTAAGCAAAGACATTGGGGTATAAGAGCACGGAGAATGTTGGGGGTTGTTGAGTGATTCCAATTTAAAAATAGAGTTTGAGTGGTAGAGATGGTTAGAAAAATAGAGCAATACTAAATTATGAGAGCCATGAATATGAAGTTATGGAGTTTAAGCTTTATCCTGGAGGTAATAGGGAGCCACCAAAGACTTTTGAGCAAAGGTGTGACATGGCTAGATCTATTTATAACAAAGGTGATGTTGGTAGTAGCCTGGTGAAGATGGTGAATACTGTGAGATAGCTATTTGAAATAATCCAGGTAGGTGCTAACCTAACCTTAACCCTTTACTGGGGATGATGGCAGGGGAATGAGAGCGGAGGAAATGAATATGAGTGATGGTGAGATAGGATCTGATGTTGACTGTAGATGAGTGAATTAGAAAGCATTTATTTAGCACTTACTAATTGCAAAGCACTTCGAGCTCAAGTGAATTAGCACAGGACTTGGTACCTCGTAGGTGCTTAATAAATGTTTATTGACTGAATTCATATTCTAATTGGGGCAGGGAGGAAGGTGTAGATAACAACATATAGAAGAGATTTCAGGGGTAAAGTGGGATAGAAAAGTCCCATGGACCTTTGGGTAACAGAGAAGGGGAAATCTAAGAGAAACTCAAGATTTTGAATCTAGTATCCCAGATGAATAGTGGTGGCCACAGACATAGTCAAGTCAGAAGTAAGAGAGGTTTAAGGAAGAAAGATAATGAGGAAGATAATGAGAAAATGGGTCAGGTAGAGAGGTACCATTCTCAGAAATGGATGGATTTCATAACTCATCAAGGAAGGGATTCAAGTCAAACCACCTCAGGAGTAATTAATGCCCCTCTGCCCAATCTCTAATATCTGTCTGAGAGAACTGTGTACTGCTAGGGTCCTCCTTCCCAGCTACCCCAGACGACTGGCCAAAAGCCATAGGATCCTCTTGGAGAAATTGTCTCTAATCTCATCAAGAAGGATGGGGAGGTGATTCTAACAGCTGTGCCTACCAGTCCCTGGAGGTAATGGGAGAGAAGAGGAGATAGGAGGAACCCAAGTGGGGAGGGGGAAGGAAGGAGTGCTGGGGATGAGCAGATGGAGGAGGCAGAAGGTCATCTGTGTACCCTATCTAGAGCCTACAGGGCCATCTCCCTGGAGGAGAAAAGTCAGACACTCTCACCCAAGATTGGAAGCTGTTGAGACAGTCCGTTGGATCAGAAATAAACTCAAGAGAAGTCTGTGTCCTAGAACCCAACTCAGGCTGAGAAAAACAAGAGTGGGATACTGATATTGAGTCCCTGTGCCTCACTTTGGGTTAAGGATTTGCTTCTGAGCCCCATGGAAATCTTACCCAAATTTCCTGTGTCTTTGCGGATCCACAAAGCATTCAGAATGAGTTCTGGCTTCATGGGCAGAGGAAGACTATTCCATGTAGATCTGGGCAAAGAACTGATTCCTAATGGGAGGCAGTAGACAGCAGAAAGAACTCAGATTTTAGAGTCAGAGGGCCTGGGTTTGAATCCTTTCTCAGATCCTCAGTGCCTCTGTGACATTGGGGGAGTTACTTAGCCTCCTTGGGCCTCACTTTCCCCATCTGTAAAATGATGAGCTTAGAGTAAATGGCCTCTGGAGCTATCATCTTGTGACTTTGCCTCTGTAGCCTCAGAACTGCTGGACGAAAGATAGACAGGACCAGGGCCTCTTTTCCCGCTAATTAAATCTTCTTCAAGTAGTAGCTCAGGGCCTGCCTTTCCTGAAGCAGAGGACAGAGTGGTCTGAGATAAGGGAGGACGGAACCCTTACTGGTCCCATTCTAGGGGGAAAGGAGGGACCTGGTAATATGGGTGATAAGAAAGAGAACAGAAGGCCAATCTGAGATAGAAGAGAGATACACAGATGCGTGCACACTCTCCTTACGCCCAGGCCTGGACTATACCACACCTGGGAAAGAGTTGATGTTAGAGAGTGAGATGTATGGTGCCCTTATACTGTAGGTGTGGGAGCCAGCTGAGGATGGGAAGCAGACTGGGCCCCTCAATTAGTGATCTGGAACATACACCCTAAAAGTCAGGGTTTAGGGGAAGCATGTGAAGTTTGGGGATTATCTATTGGTGGGGGAATTACCTGGGTTTGGGGGATTATCTGTTGATTGGGGATTATTTAGGTTCAGGATTTTCTGGATTTGGGGATTATCTAGTGTGCAGGTCCTCTCTGCCTTTGGGGATTATTTGTGATTGGGGGTTTTATGCACTGGGGATTACATGACTTTCCATTCTCCTTGCTCCATGGTCCCCATGGGGAGTCTGTGATGACTTGCTCTTTGTCTCCAGACCCTCACGCCTCATGTCTTCTTTCTTTTAGATGACGGGAAGTTGTCCTTGGAAGAATTCCAGTTGTTTTTTTCAGATGGTGTCCTTAATGAAGAAGAACTTGAGAAGCTTTTTCACACGATCGACTCTGACAACACCAAGTAAGCCCTCACATTTCCCCACACAGGGCCGCTCATGCAGCATAGGGCCACTCATAGCCCAGGGCAGCCACAGGAGGCTTTGTGGCTACACCCAATCAAAGTGCGGGGCTTGGGGTGAGAAACAGAAGACAGAGACAACCATTCTCGTGTGACAGTTTTCAATTTTCCTCACTAGTGAAAGGGAGACCATGGATGGCTTCCCTAATCTAAAAATGACAGCTTGTCCAAAAGTTACTTTTCGAAGAATTATAGATGACACTGGACGAGATTCACAGAATCATAAGGGACCTTAGAGGACCCTCATTGTTTCTATTGTGACTGCTGGGTCCACATATCCAAAATCTTTCCCAGCCTACTTCTAAGAGAGAAGGCCAGCTAACTGTGTGACCCTGGACAAGTCACTTAACCCCAATTGCCTTAAAAAAAAAAGAGAGAGAGAGAGAGAGAGGGCCAGGATCTGTTTCCTCAGTGTGCAGATGGGAAAATAAAGGCCTTGAGGAAAGGAGGATAGATAAAAGGAATTTCTTAGGAATGCATGGATTAGGGGTGGCAGTGGGCTAGGTAAGATCCCAGAAGTCTGTTGCTACTTCATTCTGAAGCTATCCCCCACCCTGTGTCAGAGAGCCATGAATTGTTGAGGTTACTCTCCTAGGTTCTGAGTAACCCAGGCCAGTTCCTCGACTCTACTGTGAGATCAGAGAATCACAGAATCTAAGAGTTATGAGAGACCTCAGAGGATATCTCGTCCAACCTGTACCTGATTAAGAATTCCCCAGCAACCTCCCCAACCAATGGTCCTCCCACCTCTACTTAGTGATCTCCAATAAAAGCTTAGATTTGGTTCTCTCCTCTGGGGCCAAGTAGAGTAAATCTAGATATTCTGTCAGGTTCTCCCTAAGCCTTCTCTTCTCCAGGATAAACATACCCATTTCTTTTAAGAGATTACCCTATCACATATCCTCTAGGCTTCTAACCTTTCTGGTTCTTCTCTTCTGGATGCTCTCCAGTGATCTGTATGTTTCCAGAAACACGAAGCCCAGAGCCAGATATGCCTTGAACAATGCAGAAGATACCCATCTATCTATCTATCTAGCCACACATACATATACATACACATATATGTATATATGCATACATATCTGTGTATATGTATGTGTATATATCTCTATCTGTCTCTATCTATCTAATCTCTTACTGCCCTCATTCTGGACACTATGCCTCTCTTAATAGAGCCTGAGATAGCATTAGTCTTTTTAAGTATCTTTCACCCTATTGGCACAGCGAATAGAACTCTGGGGCTGGAGACAGGGAAACATCTTCCTGAGTTCAAATCTGGGCTCAGACACTTACTAGCTGTGTGACCCTGGGCAAGTCATTTAACCCTGTCTGCCTCAGTTTCCTCATCTGTCAAATGAGCTGGAGAAGGAAATGGCAAACCACCCCAGTACCTTTGCCAAGAAAACCCAGAATAGAGTAATGAAGAGTCGGACATGACTGAAAAATGACTGAACCCCAATACCAACACTCTATTGATTTATATTGAGTTTACAATCCACTGAGACCCCCAGATCTTTTTCATGGGAACTCTCCTGAAAGTCTATCTTCAGTGGCCTCTCCTTCCCAAGCTCCAAGTCTCTGAGAGCTTGCCCTCCTTGACCTAGCTTTTCAAGATCCTTCTCCTGTCCTCCCCATGCACTCTTTGACCAATGGCCTGACCTCAAGGACCCTTTTATTCAATTCAGTGAACATTTATTAAATTTCTACTGTGTCAGTCAACTTAGTCAACTAGCATTGTTGTGCTGAGTGCTAAGTGCCAGGCACTGAGGATACAGAGACAAAAATAGGACAATTCTTGCCCCCAAGAAGCTAACATTCTACAGGGGAGAAACAATATATGCAGATAAGTATATATAAAATAATTTCCAAGGGAGCTGAGGAGGGGCAGAAATGTAGGAGATGGTACTTGAGATGATCATTGAATGGAGGTAGGGATTCCAAGAAACTGAGGTGAGGAAATATTCCAGACATGGCAGCCATCCCATGAAAAGCCACAGAAGATGAAGACAGAATGTTGTGAATAGAGTACCCCAAGTAGGCCAGATTGCCTGGAACACAGAGGGAACAACAGGAAATAATTTAGGGAAAATGTGTTGAAGGCATCTTGTGAAGGGCTTTAAATGAGACACAAAGCAGGTTGTATTTTATCTCAGAGGCAACAGGGACTCAGTGAGAATTCTTGAGCAGAGGAGTGACATGGGCAGTCCTGTGTCTTAGGAATGTCAGTTTGACAGTTGAACGGAGGATGGCTTGAGAGGGAAGAATCGTTCAGGATGGGTACATCCAGAACCATTTTTCTAGAAGGGAAGAAATCACCATGTTCCATACATATTTGCTGACATCATTTTGTGCCCAACTTTGTACTTGGCCCTGTGAGGGATACATAATAAATACACACTTCCTACCCTCTGGGAGGGCATAGTCTAATTGAGGAGATAAGACTCAGACATATATGGAGGCAATTAGCAATAATATCAGACTGTAAACTCTGACTGCAGAAACTATTCAGTTCAAATCAGGAAACATCTCTTAAGCAACCTACTAAATTCTAGACTCTGAAGATAGAGACCAACATGAAATAATTGTTCCTGGCCTCAAGGGGTTTACTGTTGAATCTCCATCAGCACCCAGCTTGGTGAATAAGTAAATAAATGGATGAATGAGGAAATGAGTGGGTTAGCAACAAATGACTGATAAAGACAGTAAATTCTGGGACAGTCAGGGCAGCCTTGTTGAGTGAATAAATGGATGGATGAATGGATGGATGGATGAATGAATGAATGAATGTTGGATGTTGGACATTGACAGTTGACTGAAAAAATCTCAGGAGAAGGGGAAGAAGAGGGATCCAATGGGAAATCTAGATGTTGTTAAAAAATACCAATTAAAACTTAATTTTAAAAGTCTTAGAGTATATATACATACGTATATACTTGTGTGTGAGAGAGTTGTGGGTGCGGTCTTAGAATACAGCTGTTCTGTAGATTTCTGTAGATTTCATTTCAAGGTTGGCCAGCTCACTCCTTCAGTCCCATCCTTGGGTCTCTCCATCCATCCTTGGGGCTCCCATATCTACTCACAGCTGCCTCTGAAGCTGCCTGAGTCCCGACTCAGTGGTTCTGTCTGCCCATTTAGCCGCTCCTGCTCAAGTCTCTCTCCCCCAAGCTCATTCCTCCCATCCCCAGATGGCTGTTGTTTGTTCTTGAAGAGGACAATGATGGTCAGTCACTGAAGACTGAGCTTACTTTCTGGCTGATTTCTGTAGGTCCTTCCCTTCAGTTTAGTCTGGCATCCATCCCGTTAGTCGGCCCCTGGCCAGCTAGCCAGCCAGGCTCTCCCTGGTTGTCCAGGGACAAGTCTGACTCTTCCCCAGCCAGCTGCCCCTGCTGCTGTCGCTGCCCAGCCCTTTCTTCTGGCCCCCTCCAGTAGCCTTTGCCTCCATCATCCCCTGCTGTTTTCTCTCTCTGGTTTCTTGACAACAGGTTCCCTCACTCTCCACATCACTCCCTTTCTGAACTTCCACTTTCTCTCAGCAGTTTGCATCATGCTCTTTCATCTCTCCCCCCTGTGGGGGATTCAGTGGCGGGGAATTCTGCCTGCCTCACACAGGCCACCTGTCAAGCATTTCTCGGCTGAATGGGAACAGAAGCTCCCGTTTGCATTACCGTCATTCCTGACCCCACCAAATGGGGCTGATCTCAAAGTCACAGATCCTTTCAAGGAGGGATTTGCTGAGCTCCTTGCCTCTCCGTCAAGCGTCCAATGACTCATCCTGTTTTGTCCTTTTGGTGCTCAGTTCTAAAGGTGACGAGTCATATAGAAAGAACTCTGGTTTTGGAGTCAGGCAGACTGGGTGCAGGATCTGGCTCTGTCATTTCCTAGCTGTGTGATCCTGGGCTAGTCAATTAACAACTCTGTGCCTCAGTTTCCTCATCTGTAAAATGAAGGAGCTGAGCCTGGTGGCCTCTAAGGTCCTGTCCAGCTCTAACATTCTGTGGCTGGGGTGTAATGTGCTTATGGAACAGGACCAGTGCACCCTCAGGGTCCTCCCAGGGAACATCTATAGATTTTAACCCGTCCTATCTGGATATAATCCCCTCTCCCCTCTCCCTTGTTGTTGACTTCATTAGTCACTCTAATGGTAGACCAAAAGCATATTTTGCCTTTAATTAGGATCCTCCCATCCCATAGAATCATGGACTTAAAATTGGAAGGAACCTTAGAGATGATCGAATTCAACCTCCTCATTTTGCAGATGAGGACACTGAGTCACATTGAGGTTTGTTTTTTTTTAAGTGACTTGCCCAGGGTCACTCAGGGCAAGGATCTGAAGTGGGATTTGAACCTGTCTTCCTGATTCCCAGTCCACCACACCATGCTGCCTCTTAGGTGCTACTAGCCTTCCTGCCCCTTCATTTGGGATCCAAGTCTAGGGGTTCCATCCTAGAGTACCCTAAGTTGGATACATGAAAATGGAAAATCGTCCTCACTGTCACCTCCACTTGGGGTTGGGCAGATGCAAATCCACTGACTCTCCAATTCTCTCTCCCTTCTTCCCTCCCTCTGCAGCCATGTGGACACCAAAGAGCTGTGTGGTAGGTGCCCCTAGGGTTAATGGGTATGGGGTGGGGAAAGATGCAATAGGGGAGGACAAGAAAGGGCTAAAGATATCTACAGAAAGGGGGATCCCAAATAAAACTTGATAGGAGGGCCATGGAGGGTGGGAAAAAAGGGAAAAGGGGCAAGAGGAGCATAAGGATGGAGTTGGAAGATGCAGAAACTTTCCCAAAGCCAAGGCCATCCACATTTACTTTCCCATTGACACCTTTCATTGGTCCCCTTTGCCTACACCGCACCCATGAGTACCCTCAATCATCCTCCCCAATTTAGGACCATAACATGGCCTTCTCCATCATCCCAAAACAAGAACAGAGTTCAGATGTGCCCTGATCACTCCTTACCCTCTGCCCCCTTCTCCTAGATTATTTTGTGGACCACATGGGAGACTATGAGGATGTCCTAGCCTCCCTGGAGACCCTGAATCACTCCGTCCTGCAGGCCATGGGCTACACCAAGAAGGTGAGTATGAAGCCAACCTAAGACAGGAGGTACTGCTATCAATCAATCACCAAGCATTTATTAAGAGCTTACTATATACCAATCGCTGTATTTAGTGCTGGAGAATGCAGACTGTGGGGGTCATGGTCTGGCTTGGATCCCCAGGCCTAAAAAGAAAGGCCTTCCCTCATGATCTACCTTCCCTTCAGGGACATACACGGAAAGTGATAGATATGGAGCAGAATGGATGTGTCCAGGATGTGCCCTGTTTTTTGATGCCTATCTGTGCCTCCTTATCCTGAGCCATTCTGGTCCATCTTCCTCCATAAACCCTCCATGGAAGATCTACTCAAAGTGTTGGGGGCCATTCCCTGGGCTTCTTGATATTTCAGCTCTTACAGCCCTTGGGTTATTCATTCATTGTCCTATGCTCTGAACATATGACTCATCCACCCCCTTTCATGCTCCTTCATGACCTAGGTGATGTTGCATGACATGTCTCAAGCCCATTGACCAAACACTGTTTATGCCCACCATCCATCTGGACAACCTTCTTCCTACAGAGCCTTTTAAAGGAAACCCACACCCACTCCAGAGTTCCATAATAGCAATCCACATAGGGACAACTCAATTCTGTAATGATAACAGTGACATAGGGGAGTATTATTATCCACATTGTACAGATAAGAAAACTGAGGTTCAGCCAGGTAAAGTGATATGCCCCCCCAAAAAATCACACAACCAGGAAGTGTGGGAGTCAGGATTTGAACCCAGGTCTTTTCCCACTGCACCCACACTAACTATGATACAGTAGAAGTACCATTTGGAAGGGGGCCTCTTGGAGAAACTCCGAGGGTTTTTGCCTGCCCAGGAGATGGCTTGCACGTATTAGATAGAGGGTGCTGGGCCTGGAGGCAGGAATATAGGAGTTCGAATGCAGCCTCAGACATTTCCTAGCTATGTGACTCTAGGCAAGTCACTAAACCTAAGTCTATCTGCTTCAGTTTTTTCCATTGTGAAATGGAGATCATAATAGCACCCACCTCCCAGGGTTGTTGTGGGTGTCAAATGAGATAAAATTTCTAAAGCCCTTAGCGCGATGTCCCATTTTCTCAGCAGAGCCTCTTACCCTGCTCTGGTGGGATTGGGGAGGGAGAGAGGAAAGGAGATTAGGAAAAAGCAGGGCCCTTCCTTTTCGTTCTGTTTAACGCTCGTGAAGCACCTTTTGTGTACAAAACCTTCTGCAGGGCCCTGGGGATCAGAGGGTCATAGATTCAGAGCTAGAAGAGGGCATTGGAAGAGTTACGTGGCCACCTTCTATTCCTCCTTCTCAAGCCCGGGATGGAGAGAGCAGGTTTGAGCTCCCCCTCCTAGGAGAGGTGACTGATTGGGTTAGTCCGGAGGAGAGGAGAGGAAAGCGCGATCCAGGCTAAGGGACTCTCTTCAAGGGTGTGGAAGCAAAGCTTCCTGCCCAGGAGACGCTGCGGATGAGAGGACAGTGCTGACTGCTGCGGGGTGGACAGAGAAGGGGACGGACGGCCAAGCACACTGCCGCCCAATGAATCCCGGAGCCGTCCCTCAGCTCCCCAGAGTCTGGAAGAAGCAACTCTACTAGGGACGTGGAAGAAAGGAAAGGACTGCCCGCCGCCCACTTCTGCCGCCTTGCCCACACATACTGTGTGCCCATCTCCTCGCGCATCCCCATCCCTAGAGAGACAAAGATGTGCGGCCGGTGGAGGCAGAGTGAAGTACCAAGCATGTATTAAGCGCTTATTTACCACGTCAGGAGCTATGCTAAGGGCTGGGTGATACAAGGGGAAAAATGTTGCCCCAAGGAGCTCCGTTCGAATTCCATCGGAAAGGTCTGGTGAGGACAGTGCTGGACCTGGACTGAGGAGCCCGCAGTTCAAATCCCAGCCAGAAGACCAGAAGCAAATAACCTCACGCCTCTGAGACTCAGTTTTCTCATCTACAAAATAGGGATAAAAATACTTATACTCCCTACTTCGATGTGAATCAGATCAGTCAACTGGTATTTATTTAGCACCTGCTGTGTGCCAGGCACACTGCTAAGTGCTGAGGATACAAAAACAAAACAAAACAGGAAAAAAAAAAAGCAAAACCCTAAATTCTCTGCTTTCAAGGACCTCACAGTTGAACGGAGAAGACGACATGCAAACAGCTGTGTACAAATAAGATATACACTGTAGAAGTAGTGGAGGGTCATGGCAGAAGGCAGGTAGGCGCTGGGAAGGGGGTCCAGGAAAAGCCTCCTGCAGGGAGTAGGATTTAAGCTTTGTCCTGAAGGAAGCCAGGATCCAGAGGCGAGGGGATTCCCTGTAAGCCTTAAAGCTTATGTATTACATTTATATACACAAATGTGAGTTATTATTATTAGGTCAGGTTGCTGTCCCAGTTTAGCTGTCTGGGGAGATTGGGGTCCAGGTGATGTTTCTTCTCTACCACATCAGCACCATGAGGTGCCAGAGGGACCTTCTGCCTTTATGAGGAGCAACTTGTCTGAGGGGGAAGATGAAATCCTGATGGATGGGGACACCGTTTTCCTTATGAGGAAGTCTTCAATCTCATAGGCTTGCCCTCAGGGGTCTGGGTTCTGCTTTCCCACCACTGGAGAAGGGTGATGTGGGGTAGACCTTATAATTCCAGACCTCTTTATTTAGTTGTTGGGCAACTAGATGGTTCAATGGATGGAGCACCAGGCCTGGAGTCAGGAACACTCATCATCCTGAGTTCAAATCCAGCCTCAGACTCTTACTAGCTCTGAGACCTTGGGCAAGTCACTAAATCCTGTTTGCCTCGGTTTCCTCATCTGTAAAATGAGCCGGAGAAAGAAATAACCACTCCAGTATCTTTGCCAAGAAAACCCCAAATGGGGTCACAAAGAGTTGGGCACAACTGAAATGACTGAACAACAACAAATTACTTGCCTCAGCAGGCAGAGAACCTGGGGAGACAGAGGAACAGATCTTGGGCATTTGGTTTTCATTTTTTAAAAAATTAACTGGAAAGGATAATCAGTGATTATAATTTAGCAAAAAATATCAGAACCTGAAGTAATTTTCTGAGTGTTAATTAATTTTACAAAAGACAGTCTGACCCACAGCAAATCCTTCCCCTTCATCTCTACAATTACAATGCAGTCTCAAACGGCCCATGAAATTGCCTGGTCTGGGGAAGAGATTGCCTTTGTTTCTCTTTCTGTCTGACTTTCCCTCTCTCTCATTATTACTGTCTTCCTGTCTATCTTTCTACCCTATTTCGGTTTGTTTCTCCCGGTCTCCCCACCTCTCTTTGTATTGCTTTGTCCTTCTTTCTCTTGCCTTGATCTTTCCCTGACTGTCTGTCTTTTGACAAATCTCTCCCATTCCTGCTGGTCTTTCCCTCTCCCTCCTTCTCCCTTTTTCTCTCTCTCCTCTCTCTCTTTCTTTCCCTCCCCCCTTCTCTTTCCTCCCTCTCTCCTCTCTTTCTCTCTCTCCCTCTCTTCTCCCCCCTTTTCTTTCCTCCCTCTCTCCTCTTTCTCTCTCTCCCTCTCTCCCCCCCTCCCGTACTGATGAATGTTGACACCCAGGCACCAGTATGATCCCTAAAGCCCTGCTCTCTGCTCTCCTACCCATTAGAATGTGAGTTCCTCAAGAGCAGAGACTATTTTATGTCTTTCTTCCTATCCCCTGAGCTCAGCACTGTGTCTGGCATACACTTGTGTGGTTCATCCTTGATGCTTGAAGAGGACCATGACATCAGGGAGATGATACCTGATTTGCAATTGAGTTGGATTTGAGTGAGGAGGGCTGTGCAAAGTCACCAGTCTCACTTTCTCCTCCAGAGCCATCTGGATCCAGTGGCCAGATATTCATCAAGAAAACTGGAGATGGCCCAGGATGTAGTGGGAGACCTTGGCCCTTTTAAGCTAAGGTCTTTTCAAGTTCTGACTTTGAGTGAGACAAATGCCCATTCAATGAATAGGTTTCTTTAAGAAGTGAGTCAAAGGATGGCCCCTTTAATTAAAAAAAAAAAAATCAAACTGGGAGAAGACCCTCAGGGTTGCTGGTCAAAAGAGAAACAGTTACTATTTACATCCACTCTGAACCAGGAGGGCCCAAAAAATAAGCATTAAGTGGTGTTATAATAAGCATTAGGTGGGCAGGGACCTATTGTCGAATCAGTAAGATCCAGAGTGAATTGGGTTTAAGGCTTGATCTTTGAGAAGAAATCTAACCAGTAAACCTCAAGTTATGTAGGTAGGTTTCAGCCACCCAAGTCAGGTATGGCATGATACCCTACGTGAGGAGAGGAGGAAGAGGAGAGGACCCTGAGTTGGCCAGCTGGAACTGGCCAGCTGGGTCCCCATTCAGGCAGGCACTTAGTAAATGCTGGTTGACAGACTGAACTCAATCTTCAATTCTAAGACTAGGGATTCCAGGGCACCATTTATGACTTGGGCTAAGGAGCACCGAGGAGCAGGCAAAGGAGAAGGAGGTTCAGTTTGGAGTCCCGGAAGTGCTGATTAACTGTTCAAACAGAATCACCTCGCACAGGTTGCCGCTGCTCCCCCAAATGTGTTGACTCTTCAGGGGCGCATGAGGGGAGGTATTGTGGGAGGGAGGCGTGGGCTGCCTCCCTGACCCCACGTACCTTCTCCAGCACCCCTCCGCCTCCAAATGCCCACCCGTACTTTATGCTCCTCCTTCCCTTTGCTCCCTGCTCTCCCACCACAGGTCTATGAGGGGGGATCCAATGTGGACCAGTTTGTAACCCGCTTCCTTCTCAAGGAGACAGCCAATCAGATCCAGTCCCTGCTGAGCTCTGTGGAGAGTGCTGTAGAGGCCATTGAGGAGCAGACCAGCCAGATACGGTGAGGGAAACAATGAGGAGCCTTCTGTATGCATCTGTGCATGTTTGTGTACATAGTTGGTGCTTAATAATTGTATTGCATGAGGGGCAGCTAGGTGGCGCAGTGGATAGAGCACCGGCCCTGAAGTCAGGAGGACCTGGGTTCAAATCCGGCCTCAGACCAAACACTTGACACTTGCTAGCTGTGTGACCCTGGGCAAGTCACTTAACCCCAATTGCCTAAAAACAAAAACAAAAAAAAATATTGTATTGCATGAGCACATATACAAGTATAAGTGTATGGCAGGACTTGAGCCAAATTAATCTGGGTTCAAATCCTGCCTGTGGCACTTACTAGCAAGTTGCTTAACTTCCCCGAAGCCTCAGTTTTGCTGGTAAGTCATCTGTCAGTCATGTCCATGACCCCATTTGTGGTTAAGCCTCAGATTCCTCTTCTGTAAAATGGTGTCAGTAACATAATCCTCCTCCCTCCCTTAAACCTGCAAGGGTTATGGAAGCATGCTGTCCGTAATCTGATGTACACAGAGGAGTGGCGATGGCACAGGAGGAAAGGGCCAGACCCTGAGAAGGTAGCTATGTGACCTTGGACAAATTATTTCCCCATTCTGGGCCTCAGTTTTTTTCATCTATAAAATGGCAGTTCTACTTATGCCAACTCTCACAGTTTGGTGGTGCTCAAATAAGCCTAGGTATGTACAGTGCTTGCAAGCCTTAAAGCATTATCTAAATGTCAGCACTTGTCTGGGAATCTCTCTGCACACTGGGTGTCTATACTATACTATGTCTATGTCAAGTCACTAAGCATTTATGAAGCACCTACTATGTTCCTGTAGCTAGGGCAGCTAGATGGCATGGTGGATAGAGTACTGGGGCCTAGAGTCAGGAGGATCTGAGTTCAAATCTGGCTTCAGGCACCTACTAGCTGTGTGACCCTTAACAAGTCACCTAACCCTGTTTGCCTCAATTTCCTCATCTGTAAAATGAGCTGGAGAAGGAGACAGCAAACCTTTCCAGTATCTTTGCCAAGAAAACCCCAAATGGGGTCACAAAGAGTCAGACATGACTGAAAAACAACAACATGTTCCAGTACTAAGAGCTGTCTCTGCTTTCAAGGAGCCCACAGTCTAATGCGGGGAAATGTGTGTGCATTCATGTATGTGTGGTATTCATTGTATGTCTGTGTTTCCACATAGAAAAGGGAAGGGACCAGAATTCCTTAGATTTGACCTTGCTGAAATCCAATATCACTGGAGGGTGAGGTGGGAGGAGCCCTAGTCCTGTCTCCTGTACAAATTGATTCCTTTTTTTTTTTTTATTTGTGAGGCAACTGGGGTTAAGTGACTTGCCCAGAGTCACACAGCCAGTAAGTGTCTGCTCTGAGACTGGATTTGAACTCAGGTCCTCCTGACTGCAGGGCCAGTGCTCTATCCACTGTACTACCTAGCTGTCCCTTACAGACTGATTCCTAAGGAAGCCCAGTTCTGACCCTATTCTTGGACTGGAGACCTCCCAAACCAGTTGACTGAGGTTGAAGAAATGAGAGAGATCAGGCCTCTCAAAACTGAGTCCAGGACTTAGCAGGGGACAGAGGAGCACTCCTTTCACTGTCTCCCCCAAATCAAGGTTCATCATTTCCCTCAGGGGTGGAGACAAAGGTTAGGATCCTGGCGGCCACAGTGACCATGGTGAGAGTGTGTCAGCGAGGGAGAGAAGCCCTGAGCTTTGGCAGGCTGCCTGAATGATCATCATCATATGAGCAGATTATGAGTGGAGAACATTGAGGCTTTGCATCCATTGTCTTATTTCCTCCTCCTAATAATTCTATGAGCTAGGTACTGTAGGTCTTATTATCCCCACTTTACAGATAAGGAAACTGAGTTTCAGAGACATTGAATGACTAGCCCAGAGTCACATAGCTACTGCACGTCTGAAGCAGAATTTGAACCCAGGTCTTCCCGACACCAGGTGCTCCAAGCATGCCTAGAGAAGCTAGAATACCTGTGACAAATGAACTGGAAACTTTTGTGCTGGATGAAGCTAGAGCCTAGAGAGCCATCTCTATTGAAGGGAGGGACTGGCCTATCTGCTCTTAGATAACTGAAAAAAGCCTAGCTCTCCCAGTGCGTGATGGGAGATCAGTGTTGCGTCCATCCCCCGGCCTTCAAAAGATGAGACCAGTGTCGAAACAGCCCCGTGTGTCAGGAATCTGATGTCACCATGTATTTTTTATACCATGCTTGGTCTATAGGCAGAACCCCAGCAAGCCCAGCCAAGGTGTGGCGGATCCATGGTACAGCAACCCGGCTCCCCGCTACACTCCCAATCACAAACTCTCATCTGCAGAGCCAGGGAAGAGCTTTCCGTCTGGTAAGTGGAACCTGGGGGGAGGGGAGTGTTTGCTCGGGGCCCCCTGGAGGGCCACTCCATCATGGGAGGTGCCTGGATTGTCACATCAGTGAGCTCGGACCATGCCCAGGACCCTCGGTATGGAGGTGGGGGGCTTGGGAGTTGAAGGGGGCCAAGGAAGCTCTCCCCTAGGATAGATCCATCCTGGAGCAGAATCCTGAAATGGAATATTCCCAAGACTTGGGGGTGGGGGCTGGGAGTCACCAGCATTCAGAAGGGGGTATGTCAACCAGTCAGTGAGCATTTATTAAGTGCTCACTAGATGCCAAGCATTGTGCTAAGCATTGGGGGTACCTATAAGGCACAGTCCCTGCCCCAAAGTACTTGACATTCTGATGGAGACAATGTCTATGTACATGCCAGATATATACAGTGTACATTGGAAGGAGATCTCACAGTGAAGGTACTAGTAATGAGGGTGACCATGATAGGCCTCCCACAGAGGTGGGGTTTGGGCCAAGTGTGGAAAGAAGCCAGGGCAGAGAGGAGGCAGAGGTAATGAAGGAGGGCATCCAGGCAGCAAGGACAGCAGTGCAGATGCATGTCTGGGGAGAAGCCTCCACGTCCGGTCTGGGCCCGCTCACCCTTAGCTCACTACCAGCTCCTCCTCCCCTATACCACCATCCATGGCTCCCCAGGGTCCTGGGGTCCCCTTAATGAACTCTTTGGCTTTTCCCACTCAGGTTCCCTAGACACCAAGGAGGAGGGGCTGGAAGCACAGATCAGCCGCTTAGCTGAGCTGATAGAGAGGCTGGAGAATAAGGTAAGGAAGGCCTAGCGTTGGGGTCCCCTGCCTCCCCCTTCTTTCACCTTCCAGCTGTAGTCTCCAGTCCTGCTCCAGAACCCTAGTGGTGATGCTGGAGCCCCAGACCTATGGAGGCTTCCCAGCTATAGATTTGGAAATTCAACTTTCCCCTTCCCCCACCCCAAGAACTAAAATTTCAATTAATATGCACTTTAACCAGGGGGTGGTTGGAGCCTTGATATTTCATGGCCTAAACTCCCAGTTTCAAGCTATGAGTATGGTTAACAGAAAGATGTGTGTGAGGCCCTTTTCTAGCAAAAATAAATAACCATTAGTACAACAGCAGATGGGTAAAGTTTGATAAAGCAAGGCTCCTCTGACTTTCTCCTCCAAAGGAGCTGTCCTCCACCCTGTGTTTGTCCTGGGCTACCTCCTCCCTCTCTCCCTCTCTCTCCCCTCTCTCTGAACATTTGTTCCAGGATGGTGCAGAAGGGATGCAGGTTTCAGGCATGGCTCAGACCAGACACCCTCCGAGGTCCCTCCAACTCTGAGTCCTAACGTTTTATGATTAAAATCACAGCTGGGTGCTGGGAAGGAGATGTTCTTCCTCCCGTAAGGGACCCTTAGTTCTTAGGGAGAGGAAACCTGTCTGGAGGCAAATCTAGGAGGAGACAGAATGTCATGTTCCCCTTTGCCTGTCCCAGGGGACAAAGCCCAGACCTGCCCAGAGCATCCCTGCACCTGCAGTATGCCGTTATCCAAAGGAAGAGAAATGTTCCTGCTTTGATGTCCTGCCCCCCGTCTAGGGGTGTCAGGCACACAGCGGCCTCTCTTGCTGTAGCTGCATAATGAGCCAATCTGTTCCCATGTTTGATTTCTTTCAACGGGTCTTTGGAGTGGAGGAGGGAGAAGATTGGGAGAAGGGAAGGAGAGAGGGAGAGACAGAGACAGAGGAGACAGACAGAGACACAGATGCAGAGAGAC